TAATTCTCTTGAATGGGGTTTGTCTATTTTATGTAAAGTTTTTGATTTAATTGTTTAATTGGATTGTTTCCTTCTTTAACTATCCGTTTGTTAGGTTCATCTGATTTTGATTTAGTCTTTTAGTTCATGATTTGTATTAATTTATTTGAAAAATTGAAAGATTAGTATATTACGTGTTTGATCCTTATTTACTCGCTAAATCTTATACTTTACTTATTGGAAATTACAGTTTCGATATGATATTTTCTTAAGGTTGCTACTCATTATAATGGTTGTTTTGGGGGGATTTGTGGAANTTTTAGGCATGTTTGGGTTTTTTTGTTTTGTTTTAAGATTGGTTCTTTCAATCAGACGGTGCCACATGTCATGTCCGTTAAAATAGGAATAAATATAGAACTTTGTTGGACGAGAGGGGTATATATGAACGAAAAGTATAACGGGAGATGAGATTAAACAATAAACAAAAGTAAAGGAATATGTTTGGTCCTTTTCCAATTTTATTATCAATGGTAACATTAACAGTTTACCAAAAATAAAGGAGAAAAGCTAAAGTGTCATATACGTAAAGAATTTTATCACAATCTCAGTGAGGATTTAAAAGATTCAAGATGTTATAAAGTTGGCATGGATGAGTGTACCCACACAACTACTAAGTGTTTACACCAAATCATGTTATTATATCATGGTTAAGTGATAAATTTGACTTAAGAATATATATATATATATATATATTAATTAGCTATAATTAAGTAGCAGAAATTATGCTAGTCTTTTCTATTGAAACCTCCTAATTTTATTGTAAATTATGTGGTTATTAATTTAGCCTAATATTTTTTTTTTTTGAGTTCAATAGAAAACGTAATAGAAGACTTTTAAAGAATAAAAGTCTTACTTCCATTGGTTTGATTTAAATATAAGAAGTAGGGGTGTTCATAAAAATTCGAAAATCCGAACCAAACCGAAAACCAAACCAAACTGACCAAAAAAATCGATACTTTTTGATTTGGTTTAGTTTTGGTTTTGAAATTTAAAAAACCGATCAAATTTGGTTTGGTTTTGGTTTTAATAAAAAAAAAACCCAAACCAAAACGAATATAGGAGTAGCTATTTTAAATTTATTATTACACCTATATATATGTATACTTTTATATAAAGTTTCAAAAATCTTATAATAAATGTTAATCGTTTACACTTTAGTACATGTTTTTACCTTTACATTCTAGTTTGATTGGTAGTTTTCTTTTGTTAAGTGTAAGAATCTATTTCATGTTAAAAATAATATATTTTTAATTGAGTCCTTAAATTATTCATCACTATTTGATTCAATTATCATCAATATATCTTGGTAAATAATAAATTTCTTAAAGGGCAATTGATTTGATAGTATTACGTTGAAAATGTGATCGCCGAAATATGTGTTTGGTAGTGTATGTCTTATATTTAAGAAAAAACCGACAAATAACCGAAAAAACCGAAAAGCCTACATTAACTGAATCAAGAAAAAACCGACTTAATTGGTTTGGTTTGGTTCTAATATTTAAAAAACCGACTTACGTAATTTGGTTTCTTTTTAGAGAAAAATCGATCCAAACCGAACTATGAACACCCCTAATCAAAAGTGTGTAAGTATTTCAGATACTTTAATTTATGCCTAATTATGATGAATGATTGATCTGATTTTTAAATTTGAATATAGTTGGACACACGGACGGAGTCACAATTTCTTATGCCGATTTTTTTTAAACCTTATATTTATTTCAAAAAAGTTATTAAATATATACAAATTACTATTAATTTAGAGTTTATTAAGTTAAACTATAACTATGAATACAAAAACTTCAAATTGTGGCTGTGGTCTAACTTAAATAGCATTAAATATGTGAGTGGGTACTATTTTTATAAGCATTGAATATCTTTAAACAATAGCATGATGACCCTCCAATGGGGAGTGATGTTCTTAATCCCTTATCCTCTCCTTTAGGCCACAAATTCCCACTGAACAATTGTAATTCTATTCCTACTTCAAATTCCACACGCTGTTTCTCCACCAGCTCCGGCGGTCGTGGTGCCGGCGGCGGTCGGTGGGAGAGTAATAACAGGCGCCAAAAAGAGTATCAGCGGTTTATATTCGATGACGAGCTTAGGGCTAACTTTAAGGAAGATGATTTTGGTTTCGGAAGCGCCGTGAAGCAGCGAATTTGGTGGTCCGATGATTCTTCGCTTTGGGGAGATGACTATGAAGATGAAGAAGCTGGATTTGGTAGCTTTGGTGTTAAGGAGGATTCCATTGGCTTTGCCTGGGTGACGAAGGTAACTTTATCCTTTTGTAAAGAAAAAGCGTTTGTTAAGTTTTCTTTTCTCCACCTGTTGTTAAGTATTTATGTTAAGCTAAATTTGAAATGTGTGCAAACTTATACCCTGCTTGGATCATTTGTTACCCATTGTTTTATAATGTATGTATTGTATCTTACCGTATCATTTTATGAGTACGACGTTTGGATATATTGTATTATTTGCTGTTGTTAAATAATATTTTTGATGTTTGGTTTGACGGTATAGCACTGTACTGTAACTGCAACTGATAATTTTACTAAAATACTCTCAATTGTTTTAAATATTAAATTTATTATGAATTACGCATAAAAATAAGTAAAGAGCAAATTAGTAAAGGGCAGAACCCGGGCCGAACCTATTCTAGTTATCTTTGACCGTGGAGTTGGCAACGGCAGAACCAGTTCCGGAAAAAAAGAGATGAAGATGAAGTAGGGTATAGGTTGGAGATTTGGAGTTAAAGAAAAGGGTAAAGGGTAAGATAGAATTATGGAGTAATAAGTTAGGGCATAATTGAAAAAAAAAAATAGGAAACAATCTCACCACACCAAATCGATTGTTTCAGAAAATGGGGCTTTTCATTGTTCCAGAACAATGGATTTAACAATAATACAATCAATTTTAACTAAACAATCAAAACAAACATTATTTTAGATAACAATACAATACAATGGGAACAACCATCCAAACAGACTATTAGTAAAATCAACTGCACCGCTATAAACACCTATTCAACCTTTGAGGATTGCAAATGCTTCTCACATTCTAGTGAAATTGCGTGAAGTTGGAATTTGGTGGAAGTCTGTTTTTATGAACGTGAAAGGCAATTATCTGATTGTTTAGAGTAGTTGATAAGGGAATCACTTGAGTTTGGTATTTTTAAGTAATTGTTGGCACGAATAAGCCGACGTCCTAATGGCTATCCCAGTGCATGTATCAATGCTAGTCGTAACCACATCTCTTACAAGCAACATGAAGGTCTCCATACACCATCTCTTACCATAAGCCAGCGCTTGGTCTCTCTAACGTCATATGATGTACTATGGAACTTGAAGGTCTCAGTACCCCAAGTCTTATCCTGGCATCCCTAAGGTGTGTGGTCATTATTCAAGACAAATTTGAGATTTGAAAAATAGGTGCATGGTCGGCTATAACACGTCATGTTTTACCCGAATATCTCCATGGTGTGTGGTCATCTATAACAAGCCACCTTTTACCTGAATATCTGCATGGTGCGTGGTCGTCTATACAAGCCACGTCTTACCCAAATATCTGAATACGGCATGTCAGCCACAGTGTGTGAAAGTCTTAGTACCCACGTCATACCTCATCTCACCATCACAAACCGAGGTGCAACCTCAGACTATCTTCTTAGTTGTATAATGCATCATGTGGTGCATACTAGCATGCTCATGCTTTGTCTATTAATCGTAATATCATAGTGATGCTATTTGTAGTAGTAGCAAAGCATATCGGGCATAAACCATATGAAAGCATACGCATTTATCAAGCGCACTCTCACCTCCACATATATCAGGCAGTCAAAACACATTTCTAAAGCAGTTATACAACATTAGAAATCATGCTTTTAGGAAAACAAACAATCAGGGTTTCGGATCTCCACTTGTCTCGTATCCAAGCAAGTGTGCTGCTTCTCTGCTGATTCATGCTTCCAATCTCAATCAAACGCCTCCAATCTATGCAAAATATGTGATAATAGGGTCAATTACCCCTATAGGACTCATCTCTAAAATTAAGTATCTGTCAAATCAAAATCAAAGGTCAACCCTTGGTCAATAGATCACATTCCCAGACTTGATCTGATTGCCCATAATCTAACAACTTCAAATATATAATTAGTTTTTCAATCAGAGCCCAATAAGTAGTAGTTCCAATTTGGGGCCTGAGGGATACGTTCTATACTTTTCTAGCTCGAATCTCGTATTATTTGATGTAAAAATGTAGATTCATGTAAATAATCCATAGAAGTAATTAGGATTACTAGCTTAGTGGTTTAAGATGATTCCTCCATCGCCTCAAACTACTGAGTTTCTAGTCCCCAAATGTGAAAACTAAGGTCTGAAATTTGTTAATGATATTGTGGAAATTAATGGGTTGGGACCTATCGCCACTATAGACCAAACTTCTAGAATCGTGGTCTGGTTCGGGCGGTCGGCAAACTCGATGTGCGATCACTATGCCCAATCTCACGATCACAGGGTTCCATGATTCCACAAGGTCTGGTATTGCGTTCAACCCTTCCTCGATTTCGGCCGTTCAACTGCCTCCCCGCCTACCTTTCTCTCGCGATCGCGGCTCCCAACTCGTGATCGGGATGATGCACCAGAAACCAAAAAATAGTGCTTGCACTAGTGCTCAGCCTTCCAAATGTTCCAAAACATGCCCGAACCCCTTGGATCTCAACCCAACCACACCAACAAGTCATAAACAGTTAGATCAACATATAAACACATTCAAAACTCAAATTAGAGCACAAATACGAAAAATGAGAGGTCGAGTTGTTATGATAGTGGATAGGTTTCTATGGATCAGTGTTTTTGAGAGCGTGAAGCGCAAAAAAGCGACAAGGGCTCGCTTCGCTTCAAAAGCGAAGCGCAAAGCGAAGCGCACGCTTCATTAAAGTGAAGCGCAATTCATAAAAAACATAATGTAAAATTATAAATAATCAAAAACTTCAATTTAAATACTTAAAAGTAGGTACTAGGTACCACCAAATCATCCACAAATCATCCACAAACCATCCACACTAGAATCAACATCTTATTCTTCTACTCTTCTTCTTCTTCTTCAAGATTGTCAAAATCTTGAATTCCTCTATTATCTTCATATTGCTCGTCATCTTCTTCTTCCCCCTCCTCTTCATGATCACTTTCATCTTCATCAATTAGGGATAGGGATCGACTTGTAGTAGCCACCCTTTTCCCTTCCTAATAGAGCTTGAACTTGGAGTATATCTCCTTAAACCATAAGGATCTTCCCCAACTCCACTACCAACCGCAACATCACCCCAAGTGAAATCGGAGTCGCCTTCAAATACTTCTTCACCTTCGCAATTTTCGGGGACTCCGGTTAGCCACTCATTAGCCTCATCAATATTGTCCAAAAGAATTGGATCAATTATATTGCGGTGGTTGTAGCGACGCCTCAATGCTCTATTGTATTTTATGAACACTAGATTATGGAGGCGCTTCAAGGTTAGTCGATTCCTTTTCTTTGTATGAATCTGCAAAAAAAGATGTGTCAACTAATTAGTAGGAGTTTGGACAATTGAGATATAATTTACTTTATCTCAAAATACGAAATAATTCTTTTTATTTCTCACGTGTTCAAAAACACTCCAGTTCCTTTCACATCCAGATGAGCTACAAGTTAAACTTAGAACTTTGATGGCGAAAGCCTGTAGCTCCGGAGTCTCTACACCATATTGGTCTCACCATTCAACTATAGAAATAAAAAAAAATGTTCAAGAGTTAATAAGTATAAAGAATACATTGAAGTTAGAGCTATAAAATATAGAAACACTTGGTCACCAAGTCCTTCAGCTGCCTTGTAAATAGCAAGCTGATCTACTATCTTTTCTTGCAAGTCTTCATCTGGGTTCAACTTGATAACAACCTGATGAAATCCTGTCCACACTTCTTTAGCCAATGAATTATTCTCATGCTGCTCATAAAAGAGTGATGAGTTCAGAATAAGTCCAGCCGCATGCAAAGGTCTATGAAGTTGCTCATCCCATCTTGCATCAATGATCTGAAAGACTTTTGCATATTTCTGCTCATCACTGAATGATGCTTGAATAGTCTCCTTGGCCCTATCCATAGCTTCATAGAGGTAGCCCATTGATGGTTTTTGCTCCCCATCCACCAAACGGAGAACTTTAACCAAAGGGCCACCAATTTTAAGAGCATGAAGGACATTATTCCAAAAAGAATAAGAAAGAATAATGCGTGCAACCTCTTTCCCCGCACTTTCCTTTGCAAATTTACTCTTGCTNCTCTTTCCCCGCACTTACCAAAGGTTTGCTCTGCCTACCCTGTGAAATATATGAGCATCCAACCCAAAACCTCAAGGCAACGGGTGGAGTAGTCCAAGACTTGTATAATCTACTTTCAAAGCCTAATCACCCATGTGGAACAATTCTATAAAAAGGTGTCGACATAACTTTAAATTGTTACACGCGTTTGTCATTTGTGTTGTGCTCCTTTCTGTAATTGTAGGGACAAGCTGAGTTGCAAATTTGCCATACTAAGCCAATTCCATCTAGTTTAGACGTGTAATTGCTCCCTATGCTTCCAAGTTGTCCTCGAACTCTGATGCAGCCCTGTACTTGTTTGCACATACTTTTCAGTTCTTTCTAGATAAGCATTTTTTAGAAACTGAGAACTCTTTTCTATCATATCTTATCCAAAAAGAAAATGATGATGAAGCTGAGATCATAAAAATTGGCATTTTTCTATCTAGATGTTAAGTATTAGACTTGATTAGCTTGGATCACAGGGAGAAAAATTGCCAGGGCCTAGCTCAAGTGGCAAAGGGTGGTGGATTTGTGTCTTAGGTCACAGGTTCAAGCCCCCACACCATGCAAAGCAAAGCCTGGTATTTAAGTGGAGACTACCGAGTTTCGAAGGGTGCGATTGGTCCAAAGGATCGGCCCCAGACGGATTTCTCGGTTATCAAAAAAAAATTGCCAGGGATCATCTTACAACTACAATATTTCAACCTTTTATGTTCATTATATCAGAGATCCTTTAAATATGTGAAAGAACAATTTTGAGTGTTTTCCACCTGTTGGTTCGTACTTTTAAGTTTTATTATGACTGGTGGGTGACATTCGGTTCATTAAGGCTTATAAACCTCTTTTTGTGAAGATTGTTTAAGTAAAAAATGTCTTATGGGTCTGGTGCAGGTGCTCAGAGCCTTTGGTTGGATGCTTCCAG